CCCTTCCCCGCCTCCCTTCACTTCTTCCTAAGTGCGAGTAACAGAACCTGTCCCATGGGGGAGGCTGGGAGGATTAAAACGAGTTGCTTCATGTACAGTGCCTAGACAAGCTTGGCCCCGTGTGACTGCTCCCCAGATGCCCGCTGTACCTACAGACCTACACCAAGGCCAACAGAGGCCCTTCGAGGAGCACACCCTTCGCTCCTATCGGGCCAGAGTGCAAGGAGGCAGGGATGGGGAGAGGACAAGAGAGGGGCGGTGAGTCACTCGGGAAGAAAGGATAACTCTCAAGAGGATGGGGGCGAGTCACAGAAAGTGAGGAAGTTGCAGTGCAGGCTTCCGTTGAAACCTGGTCCGGGCCCGGGTCGCGCGTTCGTTCGGCACCAGCCGGAGTGAGGCAGCCTGCTGGCAGGCCTCCCTAGGCGGCCACGTCTGCAGCCCCCGCCCGCGGCCCTCGGGGGAGGAGCTGGGGGGTGGCGGGGGGGGGGGAAGATGACCTGGCTCGGGAGTCCCGGACCCAGAAGACTCGTCGGTCTGAGCGCGCGGGGAGCAAGAAAAGCGCAGTCCGGCACGGACGTGTTCGCGCGCGGTCCGGCGGCGCGAGTCCCGTGTAGACGCCCCCCACCCCACCCCGCGCGCCCCCAGTCCAGGTCCCGGCCGGGCGCACCCTCACCGTCCGAGTCCTCCCGCTCGGCGCGCTCCCCGTAGTCCACCCAGCTGAGCCCCTCGAGGTTGTCATAGTCGCCGCGCCGCGGCCCGTCCACCGGCACCACGGTGAAGTGAGGCATCGCGCGCGCTCGGCCCGCGGTCCCGGCCTCCAGCCGGCTGTCCCCGCCGCCCTGGGCCGGCCCGCCCCGCCCGCGCGCATTCCACCCCGCTGCGCTCACTTCCTCCACCCGCCCCCCGGGCCGCCCCTCGGGGGCGGGGAGCAGGAGGGGCTCGGACCGGCCCCTCCCCGAGGGGGGAGACGAGGTGGCGAGAGGACCCCAAGGGGAGTACTCTGGCTGCGGGAGGGGTCGGGCTCCTGTGTGACTTTGGTGGCAGGGTTGCCCTCTCTGAGCCCTGGATGCGATATTTACAAAGTGAGGGAAAGTCGTTTGCACTTTTAGGGGCTTTAGGACGGTGAGACCCGGCGCTCTGAGCCTGGGATTTGATTAGCGCTCAGTCACTTTTCAGTCATTTAGCAGGGCTCGCCCAGTGTCTCAGTGGCCACCCCAAACCTCCCCGAGTCTTTGGTCACCCCTGCACTCACACTCCTCCATTTTCATCCTTTCTCTACCGCTCCTCCACGTCACTGGTAGCCAAATCCCCGCAACGTACAGTCTCGACCCCTCTGCCCTCAGTCCTGCTTGCTGCAGCCTCTCCTCCGGGGTCCGCTACACGCTCGGTCCAGGCGACACCCGCCCATCCCTGTTGGACACTTTAGTGAGGATAGCTCAGCTATCTCGTTCCAACTTGCTCCTTCACAGCCTCGCCTCCCCGCGGTTCCTGCACCCAAGTCCTTTGCTTTCGTGGTGCTAACTTCTTTCACATTCAGATAACTTATCTAGTTGCCTTTACTTCAGAATTTTTATCTTTCTGGGTTGTCCTTTCGGCCTCTTCCCCCGCTCCCCGCTCCCCCTTCCTTCCTATCAGAAAGCCTCAGGGCTCATCTTTCTGGTCTCTCTCCATTCTTCTCCCCTTTCTGGCTTAGACAACCTTGAGAACGTGGGCTGACCCTAGGATCCGCGCCCTCTGACGGCCACGGTCACGGTCCATTCCCAGCTCCAACCCCGCGGGTGGGCCGGTCTGCAAGCCGGGCTGAAACCCTCTGGAGCAGCCCATCATGTAGCCCTCCCCACTCAGCTTTTCTGGGCTGCTGCCCGGCCTCCCCCTCCTCAAGGCACCCTTAACTGCTTCCAACTACACTCTCTTCTCTCTCCATCCTGCACTCCCCGCCATAGAGATGGCTCAGTGTTTAAGAGCGTCTGCTGTTCTTGCAGCAGACCCAGGTTCAGTTCCCAGCATCCACGTCAGGTGGCTCATGACTGCCTGTAACTCCAGCTCCAGGGGATCTGATGCCCTCTGGCTTCCTCAGGCTCCTGCCTGAGCACACACACACACACAATTATCTTTAAACTTTAAAAATTAGCCGAGCGGTGGTGGCACATGCCTTTAATCCCAGCACTCGGGAGGCAGAGGCAGGCGAATCTCTGTGAGTTCGAGGCCAGCCTGGTCTCCAAAGCGAGTTCCAGGAAAGGCGCAAAGCTACACAGAGAAACCCTGTCTCGAAAAAACCAAAAAAAAAAAAAAAAAAAAATTAAAATAAAAAATAAAAAAATAAATTGAGCAAGCAGAAATATAAGAGACATAAGGTATGACTAATAAGTAATAAAAATATAAGAATTATAAGGTATGACTAATAAAAATTTTCCAGTCAAACCAAAAACCAAACCCAACCAAACTAAAAGCAAGTGGGTGGCTAATGAGGAACAACGTTTGAAGTTGACCTTTGGCCCACACATACATGCACACATACACCAGGCATGATGACACCCATCTTTTTTTTTTTTTTTTTGAAGCAGGATTTCTCTGTGTAGCTTTGGCTGTCCTCAAACTCACTCTGTAGCCCAGGCTGGCCTCGAACTCAGGGATCTACCTACCTCTGCCTACTGAGTGCTGGGATTAAAGAAGGTATGTGCTGCCACCACCCAGCTTCACATTTCTCTCTCTCTCTCTCTCTCTCTCTCTCTCTCTCTCTCTCTCTCTCTCTCTCTCTCTCTCTCTTTCTCTCTCTCTCTCTCTCTCTTACTTTTCCTTTGGTTTTTTGAGACAGGGTTTCTCTGTGTAGCCCTGGCTGTCCTAGAACTCACTTTGTAGACCAGGCTGGCCTCAAACACACTGAGATCCTCCTGCCTCTGCCTCCCAAGTGCTGGTATTAAAGGTGTGTGTCACCACTGCCTGGTGACAGTAAGGGCTTTTAAGTGTTCAGCCATTTCTCCAGTTCCTGGTACTCACCTTTAATGCCAGCACTAGAGAGGCAGAGGCAGGCTAGCCTGGTCTATACAGTAAGTTCCAGGGCAGCCAGGCATGGGGAGAAGAGGAGAGACATAGGGGATTGAAATAGAAATCCTAACACCTGACTAATAAAAATTCCAGGCCAGGCGGTGGTCGCGCACGCCTGTAATCCCAGCACTTGGGAGGCAGAGGCAGGTGGATCTTTGTGAGTTCGAGGCCAGCCTGGTCTACAGAGCTAGTCCAGGACAGGCTCCAAGGCTACAGAGAAACCCTGTCAGTGGGCCACCCTGCACTCCCAGAGCTCAACAGAGACCGGGGGGTGGGGGTGGGGTGAAAGCAGTGATCAAGCTCAGTTGGTAGAATGCATACTACATAAAACAGAGGCACAGGAAGGGGTGCCTGCCTGTAACCTCAGCACTTAGGCTAGAGGCAGATGCAGGAGGCTCAGAAGTTCAGTTATCCTTAGCTACGTAAGGAGTTTGAAGCCGACCAGCGGATGAACTTCACAAACATTTTGCCGAGGTAAAGACACCAGCCAGGAGTCACACAGCATAAGATTCCATTTGTAAGAAATGCCAAGAATAGGAGAATCCACAGAGACAAAAATCAGGTTGATGGCTGAGTGGGAATGAAGGAAGGCAATAGAGAGTAACTGTTTAATGGTGGAGTGTCCTTTTATCATGATTTAAGTATTATGGAACTGTAGAAATGATGATCTGTGAATGTACCAAAAGCTGCTGCTGGGCTAGGGAGATAACTCAGTGGTAAGGTGCTTGCCTTCTGTGGTATTTAGTCTTGTTTGCCAACATGATAGGGCCTAGAGTCACTGAGGCAGCAAGTCTCTGGCACACCTGGGAGAGATTATCAACATTAGGATAGCCTCTAGCCATGCCTTCGAGGAACTAACTAGTTTAAGACAATTGCAGTGAGAAGACTCACTTCAGTTGTGGGCGGAGCCATTCTATGAGTTTTGGTCCTGGATTGTGTAAGAAGGCAATGCCAGGCCTGGTGGAGCACGCCTTTAATCCCAGTACTCCAGAGGCCGAGGCAGTGGATCCCTGCGAGTTCAAGGCCAGCCTGGTCTACAGGGTGAGATCCAGGAGAGGCACCAAAACTACACAGAGAAACCCTGTCACGAAAAAAACAAAAAACAAAACAAAACAAAAAATTATTAGCCAGACTGTTACCACAACGGCCCTGTGGACACCACAAGTTGGGCCACTACCTGTGACCAAGTTGATATCTAAGGGGTGTCATGCCAATCCAGGATTCCTGCACCCCCCGCCTAGGACCATGGTGATGTATGGCCCAGACTGCTGCTGGGGGCCATGTCTGGGTCCATGTCTCTACTGCAGCTGGGCCCTGAGTTGATGTCCATGGCTCTTGTTGCTACCGAGGGCCATGAAGAGGCCTGCACTTGAGGCCATATTGGTAGTAGAGGGTTAAGCTGCTGCCCAGGCCATATAGACCTGGGTGGCCCATGCTGCCACCAGGAGCAACGGTATTGTCTGGTCCAGAACTGCAGCCCTGGGCCACGTCTGGGTCTGTGATACTACTGCAGCTAGAACATGTGTCTGTCCACGGTTCCTGTTAACATCAAAGGCTGAGTGGATACCTCAGGTCTGGGCTGCTACCTGGGGAAATGTTGGTGTTTGGGCCACACCGCCATTTGGGCCATGCCAATCTGGGTGATCTGCAATGCCAACTAGGACCATGATGACATCTAGATGTGCTGTTGCCAAGGACCATGTTTGGGTCCATGGTCCTACCTCAGCCTGAGTCTGTGCTGTCTGTGGCCCATGTTGCCACCAAAGGCCACACTGATGCCCAGTATCTGGGCCTTCACCTGTGGTCTTCTTGGTGCCCGAGGGCTATACTGCTGCCAGGCCCATGTAGACCTGAGTAACGTGCCCGCCACCCAGGGTCAGGGTGTCATTTGGGCCTGAGCTGAGGCTGGGGCCATGTCTGGGTCTGTGGCCCTGACACAGACAGGACCTGTGCTGCTATCTGAGGCTCCTGTTGCCGTCGATGGCAGTGTGGATGCCTGGGATCTGGGTCCACACCTGGGGCCATGCGGGGGAGAGGGGGTGGTGTGGGGGTTTGAGGGCCATGCTGCTGTTGGGTCCTTGCACTGCCAACTGGGACTATGGTGACATCTGAGCCCAGGCTGCTGCCAAGGACCATGTTTGGGTCCACGGTTCAATCACAGCAGGGGTCTGTATTGATGTCCGTGGCACATAGCACCTGTAATGGCCACTCAGACGTCAGGGACCTGGGCCACCACCTAGGGCCAGGTCAGTGTCCAAGGGTTGAGTCTCTGCCAGGGCCATGCTGATCTGAGTAGCCTGTGCTACCACCCAGGGCCATGATGTCGTCCAGGCCTGGGCTGCTGCCGGGGGCCACGTCTGGGTCTGTGGCCCTGCTGCAGCTGTGGCCTGTGTTGATGTCTGTGGCTCCTGTTCCCACCGAAAGCAATGGGGATGGGACTGCACAGAGCTGGCCCCATCCACAGCACTAGGGAGAACTGTCTCTGTCCCTCACCAACTGCACCATTCTGGAGAGCAGGCCCTGCACCTCTCCAGGGCAGCACCGGAGAGCTGTTCCTGCTGGTGGGGGTGGGGGTGAGCCAGGCCTGAGAGTGGGAGAGCTAACCCCACACTCTGTCACTCAGGGGCATGGGCAAGGGAGAGATACCCGCCTTGCTCTTTGCCCCTCATCCCTTGCCACCTACTGCAGGTGGGAAAAGCTGGTCCTGGGGCCGTGAGAGTGGAAGAGCTGACCCTGACCCTCACGGGGTGCAGCACTCCGGAAGAGTGGGCCCTGCACCTTGCTGGAGCAGCATAGTAGCGCTGACCCTAGGGATGGAGGCGCAGGTGATCGGGCGCCTAGGATGTGTATGGGAGACCTGGCCCCACCCTTCATCTACCATATGGTGGAATGGGCAAGGAAGAGATGACCTCCCTCCTCCCCTGCCCCTTGCTGCCTGTGGTGGGTAGGAGAGCTGGCCCTGAGGTCATCAGAGTGGGAGAGTTGGCACTGCCCCCGACTGGCTGCAGTACTAAGGAGAGCAGGCCCTGCACCTCTCCAGCAGACCTGACAACAAAACTGATCCCATTGAGTGGAGCCAAGATGAACAGGGCTGGGGGGCATGAGGGCAGGAGGACTGACATATGGTGGCATGGGTCAGGGGAAAAAATGCACTCCCTCGTCTCGACCCTTGCCACCTGCGGCAGGTAAGAGAGCTGGCCCCAGGGCCATGAGGGTGGGAGAACTGTCCCTGCCCCCCACCAGCTGCAGCACACAGGAGAGTGGGCACGGCACCTCGCCTGGGCAGCACACTTGAGCTGACCCTGTTGGGAGTGTGAGAGCAGGAGAGCTGCCCCTGCCCCCTCTCCGGTATGCCACTGGATGGCAAAGGTAAGGGAAATATGCCTCCACCTCCACCCCTTGCCAACTACTTGTGACAGGTGAGAGAGCCATCCATGGAGGCATGAGGACCGAAGAGCTGGCCCTGACCTTCACTAACTGCAACACTTGGGAGAGTGGGCCCTGCCCCTCACCTGGGCAAAACAGTAGAGCTGGCCCTGGTAGTGTGAGTGCTGGTGAGCTGGACCCAAGAATGTGAGAGCAGGAGTACTGGCCCCTGCTCCTTGCTGTCTGCTACACTGGTAGCTGAGGCAATGCTGGAGAGCTCACCTGAGTGGTGACAATGAGGGAAAGCTGGCGGGTTGATCAACCCAGCTACCACCCAGGCCCAGAACTACAAGGTCGCCCATCCCAACACCCACCTCATCTATGGAGCATGTGAAGGGGACAAACCTACAAGTCCAAAGCTGCAGGAGCTCCATGACACAAGGCAACAAGAGGATATCCAAGAGGAGTCCTAGTGAGGGCCCAGTAGTGAGGGTGTAACGGAAGCCAGAGGCCTCGAACCAGACCAATGACCCATTGCAACAAACACTTACAAATAGCTATATGGGTTAAAGGGTATACTGTGTGACTCACTGAATTTTTGCTGCTGTGTTTTGGTTTTACTTTTACTTTTTGGATTGTTTGTTTGTTTGTTTGTTTTTTTGGCAGGGAGGTTGCAAGGGCACAGGGAGGGAAGCAAGGAGACGTGAGACGAGTGTGTTAGCATTTAGGCATCTGTATTGGCCTGCCCTTAGGGTCCTGACAGGATATACCTCAGCTGCAGCCACTGAGAGCATCTCCTGTGTGAATCGGCTATGTTTCCTTATAAAAGGCGGGCCTTGTACACCTCCTGTCTCTCTCTCCTTTCTCTTTCCTTTCCTCATCCCCAGGGACTGGTCCCTGTCCCCTTCTCTGCCCCTTCTCTTCCCTCCCCTCAATAAATCTCCTACGTGGGCCCTGTTGTATGGTGTGACTCCTTCCCACCATTTTAAAAATACAAGAGTGGGATCAGGATGTGAAATCCACAAAGAATGAATAAAAAGTTAAAAAAAAATTATTAGCCAGACATGGTGACATTCACCTTTAATCTCAGCACTCGGGAGGCGGAGGCAAGTGAATCTCTGTGAATTCCAGGCCAGCCTGGTCTACATTGAGAGTGCCAGGCAGGACAGGGCTATATAGTGAGACTTTGTCTCAAAAGTAAAACATTTATTTATGTGTATGAGTGCTGATTCACCTTCATGCGTGTCTGCACCATGTGCATGTTTGGTCCCTGAGGAAAGCAGAAGAAGGTTTAAGATCCCCTGGAGTTAGAGTTAAGGACAATTAACATGCCAGTATGTGGGGTGTTGGGAACTGAACTCATGTCCCCTGGAAGAGCAGCAAGTACTCTTAACTAACGAGCCCTTTCTCTAGCCTGTTTGTTTTGAGAAAGGATCTCGCTAAGTAGCCCAAACTGGCCTCAGACTTTTGATCTTTCTGCTTCTACCACGTCAGTGCTTTGGGAATTTTCTTATCAGATTGTCTGACTCCAGGCACAAACTGTCAGTTACACAGCTAAAGTGTCTCCCTGGCTGGGACTCATCTTCTCACTCTTTTGGCAGGATTTGGTAATAGTGCACAGAAGTTACTAATTTTAACAACTTACTCTCAATTGTTTCCTTTGCTCGTCCCGCTGTTTATGTCCAGTGTCTCTATATTCAGGCCAGAACTTTTCCCTACATCATCCTGTAGAAGTTTCTTGCTTTTTTAAGAAAGGGTCTTATGCCAGGTATGGTGGCACACAACTTTAATCCCAGGGTTTGGGAGGCAGAGGTAGGCAGATCTCTGGTAGTCCAAGGCCAGCCTGGTCTACAGACCAAGTTCCAGGGGACAGGCTCCAAAGCTACACAGAGAAACCCTGTCTCAAAAACAAACAAACAAACAACAACAAAAAAAGAAAGGGTCCTACTGGGTATCCCTAGTTGGCCTGGAACTCACTATATAGACAGGCCTGGCCTTGAATTTGTAGATGATCTTCTTGCATCTTAAGATTAGAGGTTTAGACGGGCGGTGGTGGCACATGCCTTTAATCCCAGCACTTGGGAGACAGAGGCAGGCAGATCTTTTTGAGTTCAAGGTCAGTCTGGTCTACAGAGCGAGATCCAGGAAAGGCGCAAAGCTACACAGAGAAACCCTGTCTCAAAAAACCTAAAAAAGATTAGAGGCTTGATGGTCACCATACCTAGACCAGGACTGATTCATTCATTCATTCTCATTCATTCTCTCTCTCTCTCTCTCTCTCTCTCTCTCTCTCTCTCTCTCTCTGAGAAAGTCTCACTATGTAGCCCTAGCTGGCCTAGAACTTTCTATTTAGACCAGGCTTGCCTCAAACCTCGAAGTTATAGAAATCTGCTTGCCTCTGTTTCCTGAGTGCTGCCAAACTGATTTTTATATGTAGTAAGGAAAACCAGAAAGGTAGGCTTGATGGCACATGCGCAAAATTCTAGTCCTTGGATGGCAGAGACAGGAGGATCACTTGAACCCAGGTGTTCCAGGCCAGCTAAGGCAATGTACAGAGATTTGCTCTCAAAAACAAAACAAACAAAGCCCTAAAACAAACAAAAACACAGCCTTTCACTGGGAACCTATTCACTGTCCCAGTGATCCTTGGTTACTTTGCTGTATGGGCTCCAGCTCTCAGGATAAGAATCTGGTGAGCTGTCTCCACTGGTCCAGAGGGCCACAGCGGTGGGTTCCCTCACCATGAGTCCTCTGACCCTAATCCCAAAGAAGAAAGGACAGGAACACTCGGCTCGATGTTTCAAATATTTATTCTAAACATAAGCTGGGGCCTGGGCAGTGGGGAGCGGAACTCTGACCTGTGGCCAGATCACCCAAACCAAAGGATGAGGGTTAGGGAAGTGATAGTCGCTATGAGGCCTGGAAGGGGACATGGCGGGGCTTTGGAGAACTTCCGAAGGACCTGATTAGGTGGCCGCTTGGTCACCTTCAAGTATGTGTTCTGGTGTTTTTCCTGGGGCTGAGGTTGGAGGTGGGAGTGGCAGGTGCTACTCAGCTGCCTGTCTGGAAACTTGACCTCCACAGGGCTCTGCCCCCTGCTCTTTTCTCTCACCTGTGGAAGGAGGAGTCAACAGTAAGACACTCCCACCCCTCCAATGCTCCACCAGTGAACCGCCTATGTGTGAAGGCCAATCTCTCTCTCTTTTTTTTTTTTTTTTTTTTTTTTTGTTTTTGGAAACAGGGTTTCTCTGTGTAGAACCTGATTGGCCTAGAACTCACATATCCATAGACCAGGCTGGCTTTGAATGCAGAGATCCACCTGCCTCTGCCTCCCAAATGCTGGGAATAAAGGCACGTGCCACCAGCACCAGCTAGTGATGGCCAATCCTAATTGTTGATTTGAGGACACTTGTAATCAAGTAAAACCCAAGCACCTGGACAATCCTGTAAGAGATTTTCTTTCTTCCTTCTTTTTTTTACATTGTTAATGACATTTTTATTTTATGTGCACTGGTGTTTTGCTTGCATGAATGTCTGTGTGAGAGATCTGTGAGATCCTTTGGAACTGGAGTTACAGACAGCTGTAGGCTGCCTTGTGGGTGCTGGGAATTGAACCTGGGTCCTCAGGAAGAGCAGTCAGTGCTCTGAACTGCTGAACGATCTCTATTACCTCCAGAAATTTTTCTTTTCTTTTCTTTTTGACTTTTCGAGACAGGGTTTCTCTGTGTAGCTTTGTGCCTTTCCTGGAACCCACTTGGTAGCCCAGGCTGGCCTCGAACTCACAGAGATCCGCCGGCCTCTGCCTCCCGAGTGCTGGGATTAAAGGCGTGCGCCACCACTGCCCGGCTCTTTTCTTTTTTTTTAACTTTAGTTTATTTCTTTTCTTTTAGGGCTTTTTTGTTTGTTTTGTTTTGTTTTTGTTTTGAGACAGGGTTTCTCTGTGTAGCCCTGGCTGTCCTGGATCTCGCTCTGTAGACCAGGCTGGCATTGAACTCACAGAAATCCACCCACCTCCCTCTGCCACCCAAGTGCTGGGATTAAAGGTATGTGCCATCACTGCCTGGTCAGAGATTTTCTTGATTGGATCATCTGAGGTAGGAAGACCTACCCCCTAAATCTTGGCCAACACTTTTTGGTGGCTGTCCAAATAAAAGAATATGGAAGATGATGTTTTCACTGTTTGCCTGCTTGCCCTCACGAGCTGGAGAGTTCATAATCCTGTTGCTGAGGCATTTTTTTCACTACTTCTTGAGGCTTTTTGTTTGGTTTGGTTTTTTTTTTTTTTTTCCCCCCGGGACAGAGTTTCTTTGTGTAGCTTTGGAGCCTATCCTGGAACTCACTTTGGAGACCAGGCTGGCCTCTGAACTCACAGAGATCCACCTGCCTCTGTCTCCCAGTGCTGGGATCAAAGGCGTGCACCACCACCGCCCGGCTTTTCCCTTCTTTGGGATTCTGATATAAACTGAAGATCAGCGCTCTCCAGGAATCTTCTGGGACTTCAGCCCTAGATGGAGACAGCTGAGACATCCAGTCTTGTGGACTGAACAAATACTCCATTCTTGGCCTTTCCATCAGGAGACAGCCATTGTTGGACTACCCAGACACTGCCTGTAATACATGCATTAATGTCCCACCCCAGGTGTATATATATATATATATATATATATATATATATATATATATATATATATATATATATATATATATTAAAAAAACTGTGTGTGTGTGTTCTCTATCAGTTCTGCTCCTTCAGAGAGGCATGACTAATACACTATCCCTTCCTTACAACCAGCAGACCTGTTCCACCTGTCCGAAGACCCGAAGCAGGTTTCCTCGAAGGACACCTTGCAGCTCCTGTTCACTCCAGCCCCGCCTCAGCAACTCCTCGATGAGCACTGGGTATGTAGACACGTCCTCCAGCCCCTGAGGGAACCTGTGCAAATACCCACGGTGAGACCTTGGCTCTGATCCTTGTCTAGTGCCTGCTGTCCCACCAGCCCCAGGCACATATGCCCACAATTTAGGGCCAAGTTATTTAGATTAGTGAACACAACTTTAGAAGTTTTTTATAGATAGAGTTCCTGTGGCTACACCCAGCTCACAACAGATCTTCTGGGCTGGGGAGTGGTGCATGAACAAGATTCCTTTAGCCTGGGAGTGGGGAGAGGAGACATGGGCTGGAGACCAGAGCATGTAGTGTAGAGATCTGAAGGATGTTGACTTTTGAATGGGGAACTAAGGCTTAAAACTTCTGCCGTTGCACCCCAGCCCAGGGGAAACACTCACCTTCCAGATCCATCATAGTTTCCACCAATCCCAATGAACTCAGAGCCAATGACTGTCTTGATGTGATCAAAATGATCTAGAAAGTAGAGGATGGTAGAAGAGTTAGCAATTGGGAGTACTTCTAATCTGAGCAGTTCAGTCCTGGCCAGTTACCCGGTTCACATCTGGGTGGCAGTGAAGAGCTGAGTTTATAGTCCCTGGAAGGTCTGCCATTGCCCAGCACGTGCTAGACTAGTAGAGCTGTCTGAGAGCCCTGGTGCTGCAGTTCAAGTCAGAACTGCACAGAGTTGAGGTATGTGTGGGGGCAGGGCAGAGAGATGGCTCTGTGGTTAAGGGCACTGGCTGCCCTTCCAGAGGACCTAGGTTCAATTCCTAGTAACCACATGGTGGCTCACAACTACCTGTTACTCCAGTTCCAGGGAACCTGACATTGTCTCTGGCCTCCAGATCTCCACGGGGCACCAGGGATGCACATGGTACACAGACATACATGTAGGGGAAATACCCATAAACATTTTGTTTGTTTGGTTGGTTGGTTGATTTTTTTTTTTTGAGACAGGGTTTCTCTGTGTAGTTTTGGTGCCTGTCCTGGATCTCACTCTGTACACCAGGCTGGCCTCGAACTCACAGAGATCTGCCTGGCTCTGCCTCCCCAGTGCTGGGATCAAAGGCGTGCACCACTACTGCTTGGCTTTTTTTGTTTTTGTTTTTTAAAATTAAATCAGCAGCCCTCCTATACACAAATGATAAAAGGGCTGAGAAAGAAATCAGAGAAACATCACCCTTTACAATAGCCACAAATAATATAAAATAACTTGGAATAACACTAACTAAACAAGTGAAGGACCTGTTTGATAAGAACTTTAAGTCTTAAAGTTGAACAAGATATCAGAAAATGGAAGGATTGCCCATGCTCATGGATAGGTAGGATTAACATAGTAAAAATGGCAATCTTACCAAAAGCAATCTACAGATTCAATGCAATACCCATCAAAATCCCAACACAATTCTTCACAGACTAGGAAAGAACAATACTCAACTTCATATGGAAAAACAAAAGACCCAGGATAGCTAAAACAATCCTGTACAATAAAGCAACCTCTGGAGGCATCACCATCCCTGACCTCAAGCTCTACTATAGAGCTATAGTAATAAAAACAGCTTGGTACTGGTATAAAAACTGACATACAGACCAATGGAATCGAATTGAAGACCCTGACATTAATCCACGTACATATGAACACCTGATTTTTGACAAAGAAGCCAAAACTATACAATGGAAAAAAGAAAGTATCTTCAACAAATGGTGCTGGCATAACTGGATGTCAATATGTAAAAGATTGCAAATAGATCCATATCTGTCAGCATGCACAAAACTCAAGTCCAAGTGGATCAAAAACCTCAACATAAATCCAGTTACACTTAACTAGATAGAAGAGAAAGTAGGAAGTACTCTTGAACGCATTGGCACAGGAGATCAATTCCTAAATATAACACCAGTAGCACAGACACTGAGAGCAACAATTAATAAATGGGACCTCTTGAAACTGAGAAGCTTTTGTAGGGCAAAAGACACGGTCAATAAGACAAAAAGACAGCCTACAGAATGGGAAAAGACCTTCACCAACTCCACATCTGACAGAGGACTGATCTCCAAGGTACATAAAGAACTCAAGAAACTAGACATCAAAATACTGAACAATCCAATTTTAAAATGGGCTAAAGAGCTAAACAGAGAATTCTCAAAAGAAGAATTACAAATGGCTGAAAGGCATTTAAAGAAATGCTCAACATCCTTAGTCATCAGAGAAATGCAAATCAAAACAACTCTGAGATACCACCTTACACCTGTCAAAATGGCTATGATCAAAAACACTAATGACAGTCTATGTTGGAGAGGATGCAGAGCAAGGGGAACACGCCTCCACTGTTGGTGGGAGTGCAAACTTGTACAACCATTGTGGAAATCAGTATGGTAATTTTCTCAGAAAACTGGGAATCGATCTACCTCAAGACCCAGCCATACCACTCTTGGGCATATACCCAAGGAATGCTCAATCATACCACAAACATACATGCTCAACTATATTCATAGCAGCATTATTTGTAAGAGCCAGAACCTGGAAACAACTTAGATGCCCGTCAACTGAAGAATGGATTAAGAAAATGTGGTACATATACACAATGGAGTACTATTCAGAAGAGAAAAACAATGACAGCATGAAATTTGCAGGCAAATGGATGGAACTAGAAAATATCATCCTGAGTGAGGTAAGCCAGACCTAGAAAGACAAACATGGTATGTACTCACTCATAAGTGGATACTAGATATAAAGCAAAGAACAGTCAGACTGCAACCCACAGAACCAGGGAGGCTACCTAGCAGGGAGGACCCTAGGATGACTGTGGCTTATAATAAGTTTTGGCTGTACCCAATCACTGGGCAAGCTTTAGTGAAACATTTCACTATTAGGATAAGAATCTGTACTGTATCAAGCTGATAATAGAAAAATAAACAAATAAAAATGAAAAGAAGAGGAGGAGGAGGAGTTGAGGTGGGACTTACCTGCCACAGTGGACACATTAGCAAGCAGACTGCACTGCAGCACCCCCATGGACAGTGTCACCATCACGATGCCACCATTCTTTTTCTGGAGGGACAGATAAAGGGACAGTCAGTCCAGCCCCACTGGACTGCTAGTGTGCTTCCCTTACTGGGGGGACCCCTGCAGGACAGCAATCCAGAAGAACCTTCTCTTCTGAGTTTGGGGGTCCCTGGGTGAAACTGATTTGGACCTGGGTTCCAGAGATGAAGGAATGTTAATCAGCCTGACAGCTTTCTTTACTTAGGGTCAAAACTCCCAGTCAGACCTGGTGGTGCATGCCTATAAGCCCAGCCCTTGGGAGGCTGAGGCAGAGGTATTACAAGGTCCAGGTCAGACAGGACTATTTATGTAAGAAGCCCTACCACAAACAAACAAACACGACTCTTCCATTCCTTTTTGGATTTGTGAGGTAGGATTTTGCTATGCAGCACAGACTGGCCTCAACTCATGATCCTCCTACCTCCACATCTCACGTGCTAAGGCTGTAGTCATGTGCCATCATGCTTGGCTTTAAGACCCTCAAGATAGTCAAATGTACTGGCACATGCCTTAAATCCTAGCAACTGGGAGGCAGAGGCAGGCATAGCTCTGCAAGTTCAAGGCCATCCTGGTCGACATATTGAGTTCTAGGGAACCCAGAATCAAATAATGAGACCCTGTCTCCAAAAAATGGAAAAAACCTGGGCAGTGGTGGTGTATACCTTTATCCCAGCACTTGGTAGGCAGAGGCAGGTAGATCTCCATGAGTTTGAGGCCACCCTGTCCTACATAGCAAGTTCTAGGCAGCTAAAGCCTCACATGGAACCCTCTCTTGAAAAAAAAAAAAAGAAGAAGAAAGAAAGAAAGAAAAGGCCAGGCATGGTGGCACACGCCTTTAATCCCAGCACTTGGGAGGCAGAGGCAGGCGGATCTCTGTGAATTTGAGGCCAGCCTGGGCTACAGAGTACACTTCATCTCTAAGTGTACTTAGTCTGATGTTTTGAGGGCCCAGGTGGCTACTCACCAGAAGCTGCAGGATGTCATCAGGAACATTCAGCAAACTGTCGCACACAGCTCTAGCTGCTGAGTGGGAGAAGATCACAGGAGCCTGAGACACCTGCAGGGTCCGCTTCACTAAGGTGTCTGAGGCATGAGACAAGTCTATCATCATGCCCAGGCGGTTCATTTCTTCGACCACTTTCTGCAGGGATAATTGGGTTTGGGAGGGAGCAGAGGGTGTCATGGTGCAAAGGTGGGTGCAAGTATCTGCAGAAAACACACAGGGCGGGGAATGGCAGGAGTCCGCACCTCACCAAAGCTTGTCAAGCCGCTGATGTTAGTGTAGAAGGTGTGTCTCAACTTTGTGGCACTCTCTGCCCTGCAAGACAGGCAAGAGAAAGCACATCTTGCTGGCTATAGCATGGCTATCAGTGACTGGAGGTGGGGGTGGGGGCTCTGTTTATCTATCCCACATCTAGAACAGATGAGGACCAGGGCCAGCTACTTTGTGGAAGTATGAGGGACCTGCTGGGAGACCAGCCTCCCCCAGGGGACCATTGTATCTTCATTTCTTCCGTCAGGCCCATGCCATGGAGAGAAGTTTCCTCACCACACTGTCCACCGCCACGCCACCGGAGCCAGGCACTCTGCTCACCAGGGTGTGCTGCAGGTGAAGGTGAGCGTCAGGTAACGCACTCCGAGCTGGTAGAAACTGCGCAACACCGAGAGGCTAGTGTCCAGTGAGTGACCTCCTTCTACACCGACGAGGCAGGCCAGCTTCTGAGTGTTCTTCAGACCTAGAAACGGGCCGTGAGTCACACAACCACATGCGAAGGAAAGAGCCACCGGTGTCAATCCCAGGCTATGTCCCAGCTCACCTTTAGTCGAGGTCACAAGCTCCAGCTCAGGGTAAGCAGCGCACATTCGGTGAATGAGGTCGATCTGTTCCAGGGCAAGGCGCACAGCATCCCGGTCCTGGGTTTGGCATGGGATGTAGGCTGACCAGAACTAGAGGTAGGTCCAGAGGGCCACAATGAAGCCAGTATGGTCTCCAAACCCTTGGGCCCACCATTCCTGCCTCAGCCCCTCCAGGACCCATTTAACTCAACGGCTCCCCATAGTATCCTCATGACTATTAAATGCTTGGCAGCCAGTGAACAAGGTGTGGACCAATGACATACAGCTGTCTGTCCATGATTCTGTGTGAATGTCCCAGGCAAGGCTATTCTATCGTTTGTCGTTCTGAACCCCAACCTCCACACTCACCGGGGATTTTCTGGTTGTTTTCTATGTATTTCCACTGAACCTGAGCATCTGTGCACCTCACCTGTGTTGGCCTTCAAAGTCCTTATACACCCTTCCTTGTGTTTGCATGACGGTTGCTGTGGTCCCAACACTCCCGTTACTGTACCACTGTGTTACCTGGGCACCAACAAGGCCATCTCGAAGCCTATCCAAGCTGGTCTGGCCATTGGTGAAATTGCGCAGATTCACATCCTGCAGCTTGTTCTGGAAACGTTCTCTCAGGAGCAGAGGCAGGTCGTTATGGCTGGAGAGGTTGTGGTCAGTGTGAGCGCATGGCCTCCAGGTCAGGACAGGAGCTTCAGCCCGGTCTTGTCTCCCCCCACCGTCTCACAAATATGGACCTCCCCTCCCCCGCCCTCCATCCCACCATCAATAGCCTAGGGGTAAGCTTAGCCCTCTTTTGTTTTTGTTGTTGTTGTTGTTTTTTCGAGACAGGGTTTCTCTGTGAAACAGTCCTGGCACTGTCTCAGTAGCCCAGGCTGGCCTTGAACTCACAGAGATCCTCCTGCCTCTGCCTCCGGGGTGCTGGGATTAAAGGCGTGTGCCACCACCGCCTGGCAAGCTTAGCCCTCGTAGGCCCCACACCCGCACACACGCACCCGTCCACAAGCGGGAAGGCTCGCATCAGGGCCCGGGCTTGCTCTCGAAGGCGAGGGTCACTGGTTGCGCCCGGTGTGGTGGAGGCGTTGGGAGTGCCTGCAGTGGTATTGGTCCTGGAGGCCCCCGGCGTGGTCAGAACGCTGGGGGAGCTCGGAGTGGTCTGGGTGCAGGTTACCCACAGAGGCGGAACCAGAAGCAGCATCCCCAGCAGGCACAGCCAGTGCCCGAGAGGCCGCAGGCCGAGCGCGCGGGGACCCTCAACCCCCGCGGGCTGCATGTTGCTCATTCTCGGTCTCAAGAGCCTGAGAAGGGCAGGGATAGGGCAGAGGGTGACAATGGGGGTTCGGACCTTCGATTCAGGGTCCCTAGGACGCGGCCTCGCTCGGAAAAGCTTCCAGTCACACGGCTGTGCAACGGACGCTCTGGAACTTTCCACGCCTAGAAGCGCAGTCGCTAGAGGGCACCACCGCCCTTCCGCTCCCCCAAATGGAAGGGCGCCCCCTTGGGCCTGGCGGGTCTCTGCTTGCTGCTTGCATCTGCTCGCTCACTGCTCCTGGTTTCTGGCTGAGTTGAAGGAGGAGGAAGAAGACTAGTGGGGAACAGCAGGCAGGGGTCTAGGAATCTAACTAATCTCACCCCGCTAGCCAGACGTATGTGTATTAGCGCCCGAAAGTGCCCTACCCTCAATGGGGTCAAATATTCCATATTAGGCTAAGCACCGTTTTGAGTAGTAAATTAGATCTGTGTGGGTTTTGCTAGGTTTTAATCTTGTTTTTGTGGTGAGGTCTCACTATGTTGCCGGGGGCTGGTCTGGAACTCCTGAACTCAAGCTACCGACAGTATGCGTACTGTCATCTAGGGAGTACACCCGCCACTAACAGAACTATTGCCTAGCTGGGTGTGTAATCACAGCAGTCAGAAGGTGAAGGCAGGACTGTGAGTGTGAAGCCAGTTTGGGCTATATAGCAATATCCTGCATGGGGTGGTGGTGGGGGGCACATACATAGCCATGCATAGTAGCTCACATCCGTAATCCCAGCACTTAGAAGATTGAGGCATGAGGATTTCAGAGCATTCAAGGCCAACCTGGGCCATACAGAATCCCAGGGCGGGCTGAACTATAGAGTAAGACCCTATTTCAAACCAAGCAACAACAAACAAACACAGGATTCTCTGTTGAGGAACCTGTGTCTGCATTTGACTGTAGTTAACCTTTTCCTAAACATCCCTCTCCCTCCCAAAACGCCTCTTTCAATATACACTAAAACTACTTCTTAATAAATTTCTAGGGCTGGAGAGGTGGCTCAGTGGTTGAGAGCACTGTCTTCTCTTCTAGAGGTCCTGAGTTCAATTCTCAGCAATCACATGGTGGCTCACAACCATCTATAGTGGGATCTGATGCCCTCTTCTGGTATGCAGGAATATATGCAGACAAAGCACTCATACATATAAAATACATAAACAAAATAACAACAACAACAATAATAATCAATTTCTGCTGTTCTCATAAAGAAAGTGAAGGGCATCACTGAGTGCCGGCACTTGCTGTGCCACAGACTACCTAAGTTCTGTGCCCATATCTCATTTTTAAAAGAGCCAGATGCAGTGGCATGTGTCTGTAACCCCAGCAACCCTGCAGGAGGATGGGACGCCGACACAGAATCTCTGGGAACCATAGTAACAGAAATAAGAAAGACCCAGCCACAGTAGGGTGGAAGTTGGGAACAGACTTCCAAAAGTTGTCCTCTGACCTCAATAGGAATGTCGTGGTATGTAGTCACTGCCCCCTTTCTTTCACACACATACTCATAATAAAATAACTTTTTACAAAGGAAATGAAAAATAAAGGATGAAATTCAGTGGTAGAGTGAGTACCTAGCAAGTATGATGGCCTAGGTTTAAACCCACTACCATATTTAAGTAGATAAGGACATTTTAAAAAACTATCTTCTGCGGGTAGTGGTGGTTCACACCTTTAACCCCAGCACTTGGGAGGCTGAGTCAGGTGGATCTCTATGAGTTGAGGGTCAGCCTGATCTACAAAGAGAGTTCCAGGACAGACACAGAGAAATCCTGTCTCAAAAACAAATGAAAAACAAAACAAAAAAACCTATTTTCTTAGCTAAGTATAGTGGCACATACCTTTAATCCTAGCACCAAGGAAGCTGAGGTGAGTAGCTCTCTGAGATAGAGGCTAGCCTGAGTCTGCAGAGTGAGTTCCAGGCTAGCCAGGGCTGCAGAGGGAGACCCTGTCTTAAAAAAAAAATCTATCTTCTGGGCTGGAGAGATGGCTCAGAGGTTAAGAGTACTGACTGCTCTTCTAGAGGTCCTGAGTTCAATTCCCAGTAACCACATGGTGGCTCACAACCATCTATAATGAGATCTGGTGCCCTCTTCTGGCATGTAGGCAGAACACTGTGTACATAATAAACCTTTTAAAAAATCTTGAAGGCAAAAAAACATTTGGACGATATCAAAGAGGGTTGGGAGAGCACTCCAGTGGAAGATCACATACCTAGAAGGATTGAAGTCTGGATTTGATAACTAGTAAACCTCTCTCCACCCCATAAATGGCAAGGATCCAGGGAGGCTGTAAGTGCAAGCAAATGAGACCTACCTTTGGGTTGTTTCTTCCTCTGGGGACATACGGAGCCAAAGACCCACATTCAACATGAAGGGCACCCTGATAAATACGTTCTTTTTTTTTTTTTTAAAGATTATTTATTTATTTAGAAGAGGACGTCAGATCTCACTACAGATGGTTGTGAACCACCATGTGGGTGCTGGGAATCGAACTCAGGACCTCTGGAAGAACAGCCAGTGCTCTTAACCTCTGAGCCATCTCTCCAGCCCAAATACGTTCTTTGTTTTGAGCTGGAACATGAGAAACACATCCTAGGAAGATAGATGATTCAGAATTAGTGTCCCTAGGCATGCTACAATCATGTTTAACAAGCAATTACTTCTTTTTTTTTAAGATCTATTTATTTATTATGTACACAGTGTTCTGTCTGCATGTATACCTGCACGCCAAAAGAGGGCACCAGATCTCTTTATAGATGGTTCTGAGCCATCATGTGGTTGCTGGGAATTGAACTCTGCGCCTCTGGAAGATCAACCAGTGCTCTTAACCTCTGAGCCATCTCTCCAGCCCCAATTACTTCTTTTCTTATTCTTCTCTCGTACATTACATACTGACTGCAGTTCCCCCTCCCTCCACACCTCCCAGTCCACCTCCCCCCATCTCCCCTCTCCCCCATATCCACTCCTCCTCCGTTTCCCTTCAGAAAAGAACAAGCCTTCCAGGGATATCAACTGAACATGGCATAACAATTTACAATAAGACCAGGCACAAACCCTCGTATCAAAGCTGGGCAAGGCAACCCAGTAGGAGGAAAAGGATCCCAAGAGCAGGCAAAAGAGTCAGAGACACCCCCACTCCCACTGTTAGGAGTCCCACAAGAATACCAAGCTACACAACCATAACATATATGCAAAGGACCTATCTCAGACCCATACAGGCTCCATGATTTCTGATTCAGTCTCCGTGAGCCCCTATGAGCCCTGCTTAATTGATGCTGTGTGCTGTATTCTTATGGTGTCCTTGGCCTCTCTGACTTCTACAATCCCCCACTCCCACCCCACCCCAACCCCCTTCAGCAGGGTTCCCCGAACTCCACCTAATGTTTGGCTGTGGGTATCTGCATCTGCTAAGTAATAACTTCTTAACTTCTGGTAGAGCGACCTAATCTCTGCTAAATGATGCAAACGATGCTGGGACTTGAACTCCTGGAATCACAATGCTTAGACTCCTTGCCAAAGGGTCACTCAGCAGACATTGGCAGAGGAGGAAAGCAGAGTGTCTTTCTTGTTCCTGTTCTTCTCATCATTCTCAAGAGTAGCAGTTGGCTCTACTTGTCAGTTTCTTTGGGCTGTCACAAACCAGCCTTGGCATTAGAGCATCTCTACCTGCAGGGCAGACTTAGAGCCCCATGACATGGATATGCTAGTATGTGCCTATAATTCCAATACTCAGGAGGCTGAGACAGGAGGATTGTCACAAGTCTGAAGATAGCCTGGATTACATAGCAAGATTGTCTCAAAAAAGAAAAAAAATAATTAAAAAAATTAAGCTCCAGCACCATAAGGCCCTTTAAGTATCTAGTTCCCACAAGCACCCCACCTTTTCCTGCTTCTACAATCTAGAAAGGTGCATACAACTTCCAAATTCCTCTTCTGAGCTCACTTCAGTGGCACCTTTGTGCCTTTCTGGCAACTATGTAATCAGATCCCTCTATTTTAAATGCCAAGATGCATTTAAATGCAGCTGGGCACAGTAGTTTATGCCCATAATCCTGGCAATTGGAAGCCTGAGGCAGGAAAAGTGCCTTGAATTAAAGGGCATTCTGAACTACACAATGACTTTAGGCCAAGCTAGGCTCTAGACTTTGTTTCAAAATAAACAAAGCCTAAGCGATAAATAAATCAAAAATTAAAAATAAAGACAACACTATTAAAACTTACTAAACACCGAGTGGTAGTGGTGTCTCCAAAACTACATAGAGAGACCCTGTCTCAAAAAACCAAAACAGCCGGGCGGTGGTGGCACACGCCTTTAATCCCAGCATTCGGGAGGCAGAGCCAGGCGGATCTCTGTGAGTTCGAGGCCAGCCTGGTCTCCAAAGCGAGTTCCAGGAAAGGCGTAAAGCTACACAGAGAAACCCTGTCTCGAAAAACCAAAATAAATAAATAAATAAATAAAAAACCAAACCAAAACAAAACTTACTAAATGCCAGTTCACATAAAGCCAAAAATGGAGCCTGAAGCAAAAGGAAGAAATTGTTCTAATAGGTTGCACAGGCTGTTATGTGAGTGTGTGTAGGAGAGGCAGGACGGATGCTAGTCCATTAGCCAACCCCACCCATCTATATATGGAACAAGGGTGGATTGAACATCCATCATATGCCATCCAGTGCTCTTGAAGTCACTTGGAAACTAAAAGATGAGACAAACTGGACTGATGGAGTACACCTGTAATGTCAGAACCCCAGAAGCAGAAGCAAAATGATCCTAGCAAAGTTGAGGCTAGCCTAGTCTATATACTGAACTCCAAGCTATCCAGGGATACATAGCAAGACTTTGTCCTTAAAAAAAAAAGAAAGAAATAGGGCGGGCACTGGTGGTGTGGTGGCTCATGCCTATAATCCCAGCACTTGTTAATCTGATAAAAGGATCAAGGCCAGCTTGGACCACAGTGGATTGTGTGCAAACCTGGAGCCATATAGCCCTGCCTGGAAGAAAGAAAAATAAGCGCCGTTCTGTTAGACAAAGTGATCAAGAGAAGGCTTCAGCAGAGACGGTAGCGAGGGA